CCTATACTTGATTATAAGGAATATGAGAATATATACATAACCTTAATGACACAGAAGGAGGACTACAGTACCTATACTTGATTATAAGGAATATGAGAATATATACATAACCTTAATGATAAGGAAGGAGGACTACAGTATCTATACTTAATCATAAGTAGTAAGTGAATGTTGTGCATAACCTATATAACCCAGAAGGTGGACTACAATACCTGTACTTGATTATAAGAAGTAGGTGAATATTGTACATAACCTTAATGACACAGAAGGAAGATTACAACACCTATACTTGATTATAAGAAGGAGGTGATTATTATACACAACTTTCATGACCAAGTTAAAATATTGAACATAAAAGTAGCCAGGTAAACGAATTCAACAAATGTTTTCTTCGGCGGCTTGCAAACAATATAAACTACAGTTATTGAAATGGGTGTTTATGTACTCATAGTTTTTCAACTGTTTAAATTTTCTAAATATACTGTTCTTCTCAACAATAGTAAAATATGTTCTTCAGTTTTATGTTTGACTTGTTTGTTTTCGGATGATATCAACCATTCCACGTTTGCTCATCTGATCAAGCTATACACATAACTTAAGAGTGTGTTTATAACAGACCAATGAACGAGGCTCATACGAAAACTTTTTGTGTGTGATAAACTAACTCTAAGTAAGTCCCTCTCGCAACTAATTGTTGGTTACATTTTTGTATCATAATTTGTTCACGATGTGTTCCATGAAGGAAAATTGACCATTGCTTTCCCTTCGCTGAAAATAAACTTCTTTCTTGACGGCACTGAAACATCATTGGGCAGCTGTGACACAAAGATTAGTGTGTCGAGCTGCGTATCTGAAGGTCCAAGGTTGGAGTTCACAATATGCTCCTGAACACACTTCGCACTATAGGTTGCTAGCGCGTTATAAAAGTGACAGTCAATTCCGTTATTATGTAGGCGGCGATTTCTGCTGACTACTGTCCTTCTTCTGATCAGAACTTCCAAAATTGTGATGTCTATGCCTGAATCTTGGAGTCTTTGATCTAGCCGTTCAGCCTATATGACTAATGTTGTTTTAACTTTTTTATCTATTAGAATGGATTAATTGTACTATTGAGAAACTGAACGAACTGCCACAGTAAGTACAAGTAGTATAGATATGATAATAAATTACATTACTAAATACTGACACTTTCTGTTAAAAGAACAAATCTTAACAGCATTAAGGTATACGTTAACAGGTGTATCAGTATATATTTTTTAAAATTATTCTTAACACAAATGAAGCGTGTTTGTTTGTCACGTTGAAGAGCTAACAAAACAAAAATAAACTAAAACTATACATTATTCAGAGATAATACCAGAACTTAATCAGTTCTCGGCAGCTGCTAAGACGACCCAGCCGTCCCGTCAACCAGGAACCAGCAGGACAGACTTAACATCTTAAAGAGGTTAGATTAGAATGTGTAAGCTGAAACGTTGCTTAATAAATACTTTTTCTGGAATTTACGTTGTTTTAAATTATAAATCAATTAATCCTATATGCACATGTAGGAGGTCCAAGTGCGCATGTCCTGACCTTTTACAGAATGCCA